ATGTCCGAAAATGTCCGCAAAGTCTATAGCATAGTTATAATTCAAATAAATTAGGTATTTTACATTGATTAGAAAGCACGGTCTTGGAGGTGCAGGTCAATCTGGAGGCTCATTCTCTTCAATTCAAAGCAAAGGATCATTACATAGCTGTATTCATAGCTTACCCGAGGCCTCTGTCCCTGGTATAAGAGACTTAATATGAACATCTTTCTGGTACATCCCATCTCTTTCCCTTGACGAGGTCTGATAAAATGGTCATAGGAGAGGATTGCTGAGAATATTATTTTTCATCAGGCCTCGTAACTATGACAAATCTGGGAGATTTTAAATGAGACATATGGACAATATAATTGAAAAGATAACATGAATTTGATTTAACGAGTAATGACACTTTACAACAATGCCTTTTTTCTCTGCAGATGTGATATCGATTCTAGCCCTAGTCTGTTTTCGGTCTTGGTCTTGGTCTCAACCAGTCTTGGTCTTGGTCTCGCCTTAGTGTGTCTTAGTCTTGGTCTTGATACCCTCCGGTCTCAGCAATGTCTTGGTCTCGGTTTAGGCGGTCTTGACTACAACACTAGTATATATACATTAGCCTAATGAGTAGTGTTTGCGGAGAAAATTGAACTTGCAAAAAGTGGCATTTCTTTACTGTATGCAGAATGAATGGTGGGACGCTACAAATTGTCATAAAGAGAAGCTGATGTCACCCGACACAATGAAGTCAGAGAGTATGTACAAATACAAAATTCCCCAGGAGGCAGCATATAACCCATAATGCACTTCTTCAGAAGGAGACACTTCATGGGGCTGTTAATTGCTGTTAATGGGACCTGTGCTGGCCATTCCTGCTTGTATAAACCTCGTACAGAAGTACACAGTCTGTGGGTGTCAGATTTCAAGCTTAAAAGGACAAAGGAGTAAACGCGTAAAAAAAAAGAGTGAAGTTACTTCCAAGCGTTAACCCAATGACAGAAGAAGGAACTGACAAAGTGAAGAATCAGGTGCTGCAGGTGGCCCATCCTCTGAAAAAAATACAGAGCTGCTTCTTTTCAATCCAAGTAAATCAGGCATCAAATTAGCATGGGGAATGGGGACGCCGTCATGCCAGATCGGGGATCCGCTGTTTCGGAGGAGTGAGGCTCCCGCAATATGAAATCATGTCCGTCCTCAGGGGTGATCAATGGCCTGTCAAAGGCACCAGGCGGATGCTGAATGAACCTCTAGTCCACTGTAGCCCAGGCTTTTCTGCGATTATTATGAACTGCAGTCCTGACAGGCTGCTACCTATGATCCAGGATTATTTAATTTAGGTTTCCTATGCATGGTTCCCCCATTTGAGAAGCTGGCAGGATACATCAGAAAGCATCAAAACAAATAACTATCAGAAATAATACAAATGAACTGCAAACAGTATTTTGGTGTGTGAAGCCTTACACTGGGGGGTGCCTTACACCGGGGGCCGTGTCACATTACTGTCACTAACTCACGGCTACCCGTGTGTGAGGGGCCGTAAGATAGTATATCAGCAGGGTGTCAACAGAGCGGCCGGTGGAGAGCAGGCAGAAGCCACCATCACGCTGAAGCGAGATCTCAAAATACCAAGAAGCGAGATCTCAAAATACCAAGAAGCGAGATCTCAAGATACCAAGAAGCGTGATCTCAAAATACCAAGAAGCAGCCACTTGGTGATTGTGCCGTATTTTTTTAGTACGTTTTTGTATTATTAGACAACTCAATTCATGCACGTAGGAGCCCGATCTTTACGCTGCTAAAGCCATCTGCTCTCATCGCTCCAAACCACACAGAAACACACACAAAAAAAGAAAAATCCACCCAGTTTCAATCACATCTGAAAAACTGCCAGTTTCTGACCGTTAACTTAATAGTATTAGAAGAGAGGAGGACCCGTCCAAAAGCCTCCGGTATCTGTGGAGAAGCCACACCTTTTGCACTAATTTACCTTCAAAAGCAGAAGTATTTTGCACTTGGTACGGCTCCAGGGAGATGCTTTGACACAGACAGGTAATTATCATCAACAAAGAGATGCATTCAAGGGTCCTTCAGGAACGAGGGGAGAAACTCATATTGGAAGGAAAAATTAACGCAATGGCATGCAGTGTGACAGACAGGGCAAAGGAGTCAGCTGCCGACCATGCATGTCTATATAGAGGCAGAGAGGGCTGGCAGGGAAGAGCCCTAAAGCAACGTCTGCCTCCTCTTTGGCTCCATCTGAGTGCTTGTTAGAGACTGAACACTGGGTTACATCTGCACAAGCTGTTTGCCAGCATGGAGACACAGGCCATTATGAGTACAAAAAAAACTGCAAAAAAAAATTGGGTTAATCCTGGTGTCTGAAATACCACCCTTTTGTTCTGACTGAAGCATTTATATTATTATTTGACAATAGCAAAATTGTCTTGTCCCCCGTGGATTTGTATGAGACGTTCATATTGGTGAAAGCTGTTGTATCATCAAAGCTTGGCCACGCCTCTTCACCTGATTGGCTGAGGGCCCTATATGTACATCTTCACTGGAGACATGGGAATTTAAGGTATGCATGTCAACAGAAAACTGCCTCGCAGTGCCTTAAAGCTGGATCAATAAAAGAGCAAAGAAAAGCTGATGAGCCGCTTCCCTCTAGCCTTATTGCGGCATCATTTGTATATCTCTGTTTTCCTCTAATATTACCTCATCACATTCTTCATAAAAGATTTAATTTTCCACCATAATGACCATCAAAATGTATTTATTTTAGCCTTATATTCGACATAGCGTATAAAGTTGCTAATCTGCTTCTAATTATAAATTCCATATACATAATAAATTCCACTGACAAAGCTACACTGCTGACTAAATATCATACATGCCTGCTATAGTTGGTGGATGCCTGGCCTTGGGCACATCAGCACCACACTGGCTCTCACTGGAGAGCCACACTGGAGAGCTAATTCAGCACGGAGAGAACGGACAGCGCTTCTTCATCGCCACCCTGGCCGAGCCACGCCAATTATACATAGCTGGCAGCTAATGACAAACCCACGGCCACAGGTTTGCAGCCCGAGGGGCGTCAGTCACAGGGGGGCGTTAGTCAACACTGCAGACTGTAAAGCTCCACCTGTATTGACGGCACTTTTCTCCCCCCCCCCACAGACTCGATAAACTGCCCCTTCTTGGGAACTCATGCTGTCTCATCACCTGTCACAACATATAAAGTATTGGAAGCCACTATTATGCATGTTTAATTTGCAGAGCTGCATGGTAATGAACCGCAAATGTTAAGTGCCCGTGATGGAGCCGTGATTGCTGAAAAAGCGGCATCGATTCTGCCTGTCGAGGAGTTATAATTGATGGATGTCTGACTCCAGTGATTCATTCCCATTTCAAACTAACTAAATATTCACCTCTAAATCCCAGCTCCACCCTGCGGAGACAAAATCTCAACAGACGCTTATAGCGAACTAAACAAAATTTAAATATAGTACACATGAATAATCATCTATGTCTTCAAACCACTGACCCATGGGTATAAATCCAAAGTTCCAGAAAATAGTGTTTTGCTACAGCCATAAAAGTTGCAGCCTGTCAAAAACTACAGAACATTCTGGAATAAAGCACAGGGCTCCATGACAGTAGTGTCCCTGTGTGTGTGCAGAGGTGAATTTACAGCAGAACAAATTGCACTGAGAGTATTGAGAATTATTTCCAGTAAATGAGGTTTCTCTAATCTAAATGTAAAAGCAGGATGGATAACCAAGCAGCAACTCTGGACATAACAAATTTCACAAATTCGTCTGGCACTCTCAACAGAGGAAGAAACAAGAATTCCATCTGGACCTGAGTACGTCTGGCTGAATATGCTGGGACGGTCTGAGTCGATGGCAGATGAAGAGGATGCGGGACAGGACCGAGGCAAAATGTGGCATATTCCCGCAGTGTGCTGTGAATCGCTCCTGTCTGTGAGGAGGATGTTGCAACTGAGGCTATGGCCAGCAGATGGTGTGGCAATTAAAGAGCAAGATAAAAGCCTAAGTGTGCTGCAGCCTGAAATCTCAGGAGAACGTCTGGAGCCCCAGACAGGCAAGTACCCTAAATGTGCCGGTAAACCTCGGCGAAGTAAGCAACCGTAAGCCGTACAACCTGCCTGCTGAGGCTCGTTAATCATGTGACGTTAGATTAATCACAGCTTGCACATGAAATATGATGTATGTGATGTGGGCCATTTTTCACAGCAGATTTCTGAAGACAGGATTAATGGGACAAGTATGGGCTGAGGGGGAGGTGTCAGATTTCACAGCGACATGTGTCTCTCCCGCCAGAAAATGAAAGGAAACACAGGCCCAACAGGCCACTCGCAGGCTGGGGGTGGGGGGCTACGAGCCCCGATGGATTCCTGGCAGGCCGCGCTCTGGCGTTAGCGCTGTTCGTGTGCCGGGAGTGAGGCATTGGAGCACAGCGAATGAGAGCCGCAGGCTCTGCATCTTCCCCTGGGACTGCGAACAAACAACTGGATGCTCTCTCCTTGTCGTGATGACACACTGATCCCGGGCCAGATGGCTGTGTCTGTGTAATAGGGGAAATTGCATATCGAATCTGCTGACCGAAACTGAATGACAGGGTAGGAGACTGTGACCATGGAGAGCGCCACACAGACCATCGCTCTGTGAAGGAAACGGCCGTGGCGAGCAGCCGTACTGGACAGCACCGTCTGATGGGCCGAGTTAATGTCTCTGCACTGCCTGTGCTTCTGACCAGCAGCAAACAGGATTTTAATGAGGACCTGGAGTGAAGTACTAAAAAGCGCAGAGGAAAAGGATTATAATAATTCAGCTTTTATATAAAACACACCTGCATTTAACATATAAGACGTGCAAAGGTGCTGTCACTAATTAGCTTGCTGTCACTCTAAATTAACACTGAATCAACTAACAGCTGATTCACATGTAACAGATGTTAATGTGCAGTAACCACATTTATTATTTCGAAGTAATGATTACCAAACGAGCGTCGCATTTTGCCGAGATACAAATGGGTTTTAAATTGGTTTTATGGATGGTGTAGCAATCAGGAACACCTTAGCAGGGCAGATGAAAGTATGAAAAAATGCAAAGCTCATCAGTAGACTGGAGGACTAGAAGACAAATAAAGCATTAAAAATTCAACATTTGCATGCTCATTGCCGGCTGATGGACCAACAATCAGTTTGACACAAGGAACCCACTTCAATGGGTGCTTTTCCAGAATCATTATGCTGCTATAGTCAAGGACAAGCAGCTCCTGCAGCTTCATGTAAAATGATCAGATCTTTATGATTATCAGGCTTTTTCAGGCTCAATCTTATCTAATGAACTGTGAGTTCATTGTTTGTGTTTGTTTGTTTGTTTATTTTACCAGGAAATTCCAAAATCTCTACAAGAGAGACCTGGCCAAGGGGGCCGTACAAACCCAGTTTACCGTTCGACATACCATAATATGCAGGTCTTTGCGATTGACCCTCCTCTGTTATCCTTGGTGGCTGATGTCTGGCTGTTAGAGGATGATGCGTCTAAACACGCCCCCCCCCCCCCCCCCGTAACAGGCAGCCGTCGCAGGCCCGCTGACCCGGTCCGGCCAAATGGTGTGTGAAGGTGGCGACAGTTCAGCTGTGAGCCCAAAGCCCCCGTGGGGTGAACCATCTGCAACAAGTGTCGGGGGGGGCTTGTTTACCTTTGGCACTCTCTTTGTCTTCATTAGCACTAATTAACACTCATTAAGCAGACACATGACAGGGCCTGTAGAGTGCCAAGATGCCCATACAGCCCCCACCCTCCTCTAATGCCCCCTGACAGAAGAGGGGGGCCACAGGGGCCACCCAGGACATCTCTGGGTCCCCTCCCCCAAATCCACATGCAAAGTGGCACTCGAAGAGCTTGATGGTAGCTGGGTTTTGCATTGCGATGGTTTGCATCATCACGCCTCATAAATACACATTACATAAATACAGAGATTTATGCAATAGGTTATTATTTCTTTCTTTCTTTTAATTGCAGTAAGACACTGTTTTTCTTCTGGTCGCTGTCCCTCTGACAGTCTCCGCTGCCCACGAGGTCCTAGAAGACACAGCTTCAGGGAGACAACTGCCTGTCCTGTGATGCTTCACAGGAGCAGATGGCTCTGCCAGTTTTATTCATTTCCCAGCATGCCTGAGGCTTGGTGTGTGTGGGGGGGGCTTCAAGCATAGAAATCCTATACAACTAGAATGGTAGCCCTGGAAGGGTCATAGCAGGACTTTTTGTTTTAACATGGTAATATCTATGTTATACACAGAGAGGTAAGGAGCATGTACAGACAGCACGTTGCTGCACCCACCACACAACAAACCACGTCAGGGATGAGAACCTGAGTGCAGCCGTGCGCCGGGTGATACCTCAGCACCACACTAGTCCAAATGGACCAGTGTGAGTCTTTTTCCAGTGACTGCAGTGCCAATCTTGCCACCAACCTCTAAATTTTACCTGTAAGTTGGAGGACCTCCTTATAGGGCTGGATGTAGATTGAAGTCATACCCAGGACAAAGCAAATGCAGGTTAAGGGCCTTGCTGAAGGGCCCAACGGAGTAGGATTGCTCCAGGCATTCAGGGGATTTGAACCAGTGACCATCTGGTTGCTGGCACAGATCCCTGGCCTCAGAGCCGCCACTCCGCCTGGTTCACTCTATGTTATACACAGACACCAGAAAATGAGGAAACTCACGGTCCTCATTTCTGATGAAAAAAGTAATGCATTTCCATGCCTTCTGTGTGATGCTCTGAGTTTTCTAAGTGTAGGTAAACAAATACTTTGTGTTATACCAATGTTGGCAAGCCTCGCATGTCATTATTGACCTGGGTGCTTGTCGGTTGGCTAGCAATATATGTGGGATTTTATGCAAAAAACGTTTCACTAAACAAAGCCTTTATCTGGGTGCTGAAGCTAATCTGGGTATAATGAATATGGTAAAGCTTTACATTAACTGCACCTTCATAATGCATTCATGGAACATTCAGTGTACATTCATAATGCATCACATAACATTCATAAGCAGCAAGGAAGTACACCTTAACACTCTAACATACTTTCATATACATTATTAACAAAATTATATGATGATAAACATTATAATCATATAATAATGTTTGCTATTAATGTATCTTAAAGCTGTTACGGTATTTTAGAATATTAAGGTATATTTCTATTCTGTTATCAGTGTTCTATGAATGCATTATGAAGGTTCACTGAATGTTCTATGAATGCATTATGAAGGTGCGCTGAATGTTCTATGAATGCATTATGAAGGTGCACTGAATGTTCTATGAATACATTATGAAGGTGCACTGAATGTTCTATGAATGCATTATGAAGGTGCCCTGAATGTTCTACACATGCATTACAAAGGCATTATGAACGTGCAGTTAATGTAAAGCATCACGGCGAATGCTTTCACCGGGCATTCCAGTGACTAAACCTGAAGCACGACTGAAGCGTTAGGGTGACCATGTCTTCTCTGTTTATGCCACTTGACATCAAATCCCCTTCATCCCTCAATGCTTTCACATTAAGAGCTAAAACCTACCACTTTAAACTAGCTTTTGATCGTGGCTAAACATTTTGCTTGACATCATTATTCATCTTGATTTATGTTTTCATCTTTTTAATATGTGTATTTCTAACACTTCAGTTTTATTATGCATTTCTGTCTCTTGTACTGTTTGACTTTCCGTTACGATTCGACATCGCTTTGGTCAACAATTGTTGTATTAAATATGCATCATAAACAAAAGAAGTGAGCGAATTCCATTCTAGTTCCATGCGATTTCTATGTTCCACAGAGAAGTGGAATTATGACCTTTACCTGTTTTTGCCCAGCGGATGAACAGAAATGAACAGAATGGGAATGGGGGGGAGGGGTTTAAACTGGTGGCTCCCAGCAAATGACCGCACCCAGTGTGGGTTTCAGAAGCTCTTTTCTCCTGCACCTAGGCTTCTCCTACCATCAGCAAGTTTTCCCATGTCCAGCACAAAACCCAACCAAACCTGAGAAGTGCCATTGCCCCCACCCCCCCACACAGCCGACACACCGTCCCTCATGTGACGCAGGTGGCTGAAACATTAGCGGTTCTCTAAAACTTTAGCCGTAGTTGCTGCTCCAGTTCTCTGGCTTGCTGTGCCTATTTAATGAGAAGTTGCAATGTAATGAGAATTCTTTCCTAAAATAAATACACTTTGCTATCTCATGGGCATGAGTTATGGCGCCTACTTAAACATCATTCCAATTTAAAGGTTTTTTTTTTTTTAATAAAGTATGCTGAGTATGTCGAGGTAATAATGCCGACTATTAGTCCAAAGCCTGAGAAGTACCTGCCCATCAATAACTGAGCATGACGATGCTGCATACATGTGAACAAAGGCAGAGAGAGACACAGGTAACCGGCAGAAAAATGCATCCATATATAACCCTGATCAGTTTCAGCAGAAGAATCCTGACATAAATAAGCCAATTATGAAAAAAGATACAAATGAAAATATATCCGAAACACACTATATACCATAATATAAATTAAAATTATATTATTACCAGAAGAAACATTATTAGCTCCAGTACACTCCAGTATCCAGCTACTGTACTGCAGCTATTGCTGCCTTACAATTATAATGATATAATTTAAAATAATTCTGTAATTATGCAGTAAAATTACAATTATAATTACAATTATAAGTTTTTCTCTGCATATGTTTCAAATATAATTACATAAATCCTTCTTATTTGATAATGATATAGGTTTTATTTTGAGCCTATTACCCATTAGTCTTCACTGCATAATGTCTGATTGAGCTGAATGATCCCATATCACCCCAGGAGCTGAGATGGAGCTTTCTAGATGGCTGTAGTAACGCTGGATGCCTGGCAGGCAGCAGAGCCTACATGTGAAGCTCTCTGCCTTCATCTCCTACTTACAGAACCCTCTGAGTATCTCAGGCTGCTTGCTGGAGAGATGAATCGGGCTGGAGATTCCGGGGGTGTCAGACCTGCCCCTTATTACCGCGTCTTATATGCTCTCCACCACTGTCTCCTTTGCCTGTTATTCTCTACGGCTCTGTGTGCAGCACTAAAGCACCCTAAACACTGACGACGCAATCTGTGCCGCTGCAAGACAGAAAACACTAGCGATGACAATGAGAGTGACAAAATGACAGGCCGGCTTGGCTTCGGGAAGGACCGCCACGGGGCCCTCCCGCGTCTCCTGTGTGTGCCAGTCATTCTCCCGCGTCTCCTGTGTGTGCCAGTCATTTCAGACAAGGTCCCGGGTGCAGCAGTTTGGCACAGAAGCAGAGTCATTACTTCATCGCTTCATGGCGAAATCTACATCAAACATCTCTACTGGCCCTGTGCCTTATGACTCATCGCTTCACTGGAGGGCTAAATGTATATTTTGTATCTGAATTTTATTACGAACCAAAAAAAGACCTATTCACTATTCACGGGCTATTAATTCCGGTTGAGGTATCCTTGCCAACTTCATTTGTATGGGACAGGGACTGGGATAGGAGCTGGGCCTACTTGCTCCATAGCCCCATCTTTAGGATCACAATAAAGAAGTTGTGGAGGGGCAACATCCCAGAACCTGTGCTGGGGCTACCTGCCCGCGGCCTGTCCGGAGTGTGACAGCTCCAACTCCTCCTAGTTCCTCACTACAACAATGCAAATATCTTCATCGTCGGACTGAGAAGGCTACAGGTGGAAACATGGCAACAGGTCCCACACTCTCCCTCATTGGCTTCAGAAGGGCCACCAACTCCAACCATCTGATAGCAGCAAGATTGGCGCCTCCTACAGGCCTTCAGGAGAGCGGCAGTTACTCGCAGGTAAACCTCTTCCTCTCATCTCGGGTAAAGCTCACAGCAAACGCACATGGAGCTCATCAGGCACAACATGGGACAGTGTATAAAACGTATATTTCCTCTTATTAAATGTTAAAAATCCACCCTCCATTTCCCCTCACAGGCGATAAATAGGTACTTTAGACCATTTTTAAACAAGAAAGTTTCTTCTTTAAAATGCATATCTGTGCTCAGTGACACCAATCGGAAAACCAAAAGGAGAAAAATTGCTCCCAAGAAACCGCTGTCTTACCTGGATGTTGTCAAACGAGGTTTTGTTGGTGACGTCATACAGCAGCAGAAGAGCTGAGGGAAGAAAGAGAACGACAGAATTACAGGGGCGGTTTTTAATGGGAGGATGTGGTCCTGGAGATCCTGTCAATTAAAGCCAGGATGAAATCTGGGTGACCAGCCTGGTGCTAAAAGCACAGCTCAGTGTGCTGAGACAGAGACTCATCTCCTTCTACTCAGACACGTCTGGGCTTCTCACATAATAACTTTCCGGTTTGTCAACTCGCCTGGCCCTGTGGCTGTACCTTTCCGTGGTTTTTAACAATCAATTAAAATGAGAACTGTTTCTTCCCTGAATTAGGTAACACCCAAGCCGATCCCTGCCTTGGTAATAGGGGCCTCTTCAAGCAGCTCGGTGTGTGGGTGTGGGCAGTGAGATGGGGGACAGGCCTGGCCAGTGACGACGGGTGCGGGCTCGTCAGCGGTCGCGGATGGAGGGAGGCAAACGGAAGCCTGAGGAAAGCGACTTATCGGGGGGGATAGAGGATGTAGGGGGGGCAAACCCAGCACCAGGGTAAAGTGATGCTGGTGGTGTCACTTAGGCATGGGGACATAAACACAAGAACAGGGGGTCGCTGGAGCCTCCACTAATACCAACAGCAAACATCTGGGGGCAACCAAGCAAACCGGGACCAGGGCAGCTGAAAAAGCTCAGAATCCAGCAAAACTGAATGGTACACAAAGGCCTCCAACCACATACACATTCATTTACTTAGTAGACGCATTTGTGGAGCAATTGGGTTTAAGGGCCTTGGTTCAAAGGTCCTACTGTGATATGACAACTCCACCACAAAAGTTAAACCTACAATCTACTGGACAGTCCCCAAGCCACTGAGATACACACCGTCCCACCACCATTTCAATTATGGTTATACCTAAACAAATAAAAGTTTCCAAACTCTATCATCCAACCATCCTTCAATCCTCCCAATCCCGGCCGCAGGAGCAACAGTGCTACCCAAGGAGATACTGTGTCACCCCCAGCAGCAATAACGCTCCAGATGGTGCAAGCATTACAAAGTTTTCTGGAAGTCCTCTGGGGTGCTGCTTATGCTAATTCTGTCGGAGTCTGCCTGGAAGTTAAACTTTGACCCCAAGAGAAAAGGCATTTCAGCATCCGTGCCACTTTCCCTGGTCCCCGGGTACAGATACGGCATAAAGACGTTAGTTTTGGACCTCAACAATAAGACGGAAGGGGGATCAGAGATGGATACGGAATCAGACTCTTCCAGGAGTCCAGCAGGCTGCCGCTGGGTGACTGGGTAATTGGTAGGCTCGGTAATTGCAGCACTTAAGTGAACGCAGTCATCTTGCACGATAACAAAAGCCTTCCTCAGTACTGTCACTCAGTCAGAGAAGGTGGGGGACAGAAACGTGGATGGGGGAGGGGGACTGGGGGCAGAGGAACAGAGAAACAGATCATAAAAAGCAGGAGGAAGCGAGGCTGAGGCGAACAGGATGGGAGCTCACACCTCACTTGCTAATTACAGCCCACTTCCTGCATGAAGACCAAAGCAGCAGCAGGTTCCCAGAGCGACCTGTGTGGTAGAGTAACCGCGAGACAGACCGAGGGCCACTCATCCGGAGGGCCACTCATCCGGAGCACCTCCAGGGCCATCACAGAGCGGAGGCACCCCCTCTCCCGAAACCCAGGAGACTGCTGGGGGTGTGCATGTAAGAGGCTGCCATTGGGGAACACTGAGTGTATCTGAGGCGCAAAGAGAAACTGACATGGGGGGCGGGGCGAGGCAATGCAGGGCGGGGCAGGGCGGGGGGGGCGAATTCGAAGTTTGGCAGGCGCGCCTTTGCAAATGTAAACAATGTCTTTGGTGCCAGACTCGGATGTGGGAATTCATGCTGATTAATTTAATTATGCAGAAAGTGCCGGAATCATCGCACCTGGCTCACTTTGTGTTTGTGCTCTGTTAATGAAACACGCAGTGGGTGGCGTCAAACCCCCCCCCCCCCCCCCGAGGCTGAAATGTGTCTTAAAGTCGGGTGAACTACACTGGTGGGTCTCTAGGTGCCCCCTAGGCTTGTGTGGGCTGCTAACTCCCACTGTACCTCCTACATGACGGCACTATAACCACTGGGCCCTCGCTGGGCAGCATGCGTGTGGGAAATTACAGGATTTTCAAAGCAAAATAGGGGTCATAATTCATGCAGAAAGCCCAACGTTATCATTAGCCAATGACACGTTTTGAATCTGTGAGTGACAGGTGAGAGGCCCAATGAACTTTCAGCTGGGGCCAATATATGCCCTGGGGGGTGGCTTGTGGGAGTTTTATCTCATTGATTATCTTTCAGAACCAATCAGTTTTCATTCTGCCCTCACATTTTTGTGTAATTAAAACTACAATGAGCATGGAGATGAGACATTAATGGCATGTTGGTTACATAAATTGTTATATATGGGGGGACATTAAAGGTCTGCTGGTTATATATTACAAGGATCCAGGAAGCAAACTGTGGCCAGCCTATTGCACCCAGAGAGGGGCCTGCACAGATGGGCGCAGTGGGCCGTCAGCGTGGAGGGCACTGTAGAATTTAATTTCTCTGTTTCACCCGAAGCCCCTGGCGTTCCATAAACACACTCTGAATCCAGACAAGACAGCCGCGAATGCTGGGCTGAGAGGCTCCAGCAAGCAGGGAACCTGGGGGTGGGAATTAAACTTCCCTTAGGCTGTGCGTCTCATCTTTCGCTTGTATAAGTGAAAGCAGGAACACAACTTAACTGGGGGCTGGGGGGCATTATGAATACACTCGGAGTAGATTAAGAAGCTTGAATCTGGGCAGCAGAACATATGCTGCATTTTTCCGGACGGTGAACCGATCTTTCCCGCAAACAACTAAATGCCACGAACATCGCACAGAGTGCATGCAATACACTGATCAAGAAATCAGGGGAAATATGGCTGTCATACCTACAAGGAACTTGACCAGTGTAGATATTAAGGACTTCCGCCTTGACAGCAATGTTTTCCCAATCCAGTGTGGCAGAGAGCTGGGAGGGAGCAAAGATGTGGACCGTCTGTGGGTCCCCAAGGACTGGGTTGGGAAACACTGCTCTTCAACACCCCTAACCTGTTGGTGTCATGTTTGCTACTCGACGCCCGACAAGGCACCAAGTTTCATCCCACACGTACCCCACTCTGGCCCTTTGTACCACGGCCATGTTTGATGTTTGGAGAGCCCCTCGACATGGCTGCCTGGCAGAGATCAGGATATGTGAGCCTGCTAAATGGAGAAAGCAGTGGGACGACCTTGTGTCAAGCCCGGCAGTGAGTGGAGATGCCAGACACCGTCTCTCTACATGGCACCAGGACTGCAGTAAGGGATCTGCGAAAGCTGCCTGTAGCTTGCTGGGCAAAGACCAATTACACGACCCCAAACTCTTGCGAAAAACAACACTGAAAGGCATTTTCACTCTTTTCCAACATTTGGACTCACAGGCTATTTGCTCTGAAGAAAAACCACCAATCATCTAAGGCAGTCCTCTCTGTGTGAGTGAGGGGAAAGGCAAGCCACCATCAAGCAGGACGTGATCAGCGATGTGATTGGACAGGAGGGACCAAACGCCCGTCAGCAAGAGCCTGCAATCATCCACCTGTCTACAAGCTGACAGACAGGGAGTTTATGGAACTCAACTGGCATTCAACGTGGGGCTGGAGCTCCTCTGAAGTCTACATACGGGGCAGCGCGACTAGAAAAGCAGCAAACACAGCCACGAGCACCTGACTGGGCCGGACGCCAACTCTCAAGTCAGCAAACCTGCCGTGCAACGTGGTTGTCAAGTCAAGTGAAGTAAATTGGGCTTTATCATAAGACACTCAAATCACAGGGGCACGAAATAACGTATGAAATTGGCTTAGAAAAAGATAATGGCGGTCACAACATACAGAGAATAAAATGTTCTGGGCCCCTCTGTCTTGACGAGAGCCACTAGTCTGTCACCGATGGGCCCAGGCTAATAGACCCTCCTACGTGGACCAGACCTGTGGGTGAAACTCTGTGTCCCTGCTCTCGCTCGCTTCGTACCCTGAAGTCTCTGAATGGGGTCTGACGGAGCACCAAAATTCCCAGCCAACTTTCAAACTAAAACAGGCCCCAGTGCCGCCCTTCCCCCAGCCTGGCGACTCCCCAGAAATCTGCCCGCCCGCTCAAAGTCTGTTCTCACCCACACCCCCTGCCCACATACATGTGCACACATGTCATGGTAAGGACTACAGGCTGGGGTCCCTGACGTCCCAGAGCAGCGGGACACTGGACATGCAGAGATGTGCTACAGAGTTGTTGGTCATTGGTTTGACTCTAGATGCTGACAGAGACACTGCCATGGTCCCTTACCCACTACAAGCTAATCACAATGGGGGGTCTTCACTGTCCTTCCCTCTATTACAGACACACTACAACCGGAGACTACAATGCTAGATACATTTCTAGTCACCAAATAGCGTTTCCATGGTTCAACTCATTGTCTAACCACAGGCTTTTTAATGATCTGGTGACAATCACTAGGGTTTGCAGTGCTGTCGATAGGCTGTCTTGTGGTTGTCTTGGGTCAAGGATCAGATCTGGATAATATTGTAAAGTTCAGTCTAAATGATTGGACGGTCTATCATTCCCCTACATTTTGCGCCGTCTTTTGAAATCAATACGTTACAATTTTACGTTTGATTTAGTCAGAAGAAAAATGATCCATTTCACGTCAGAAGAAAATGTCTTTGAACATCATTTGGCCTGAAGGGGCCCGTCAGGTCACTACAGGGGATTACAGAAAGTAACCCAGGACACACTTATGCAAACACAGCTCATGCCATTTCATTACGTCGGCGCATACCGGAGACCGAGAAGCACCATTCATTTTAAGAAAAATGAATTATGGCCACATTCTCAGATTTGTCCAGATTTGCTGACGGTGATCCAGTTGGCTTCCCGCTGTCCCTCCTCTTGGCTCCGCCAAGCCTCCTGCTGACGGCCGCGGATGAGTGCCGGATGGAGGTTATTAATAGCGCACTTAGCACCTCTGGAGCGCGGCTGTCCGACAGCCAGTCCGAGGGAGGGAAGCGGGAAGGCAGACAGGAACAGGCCCCGGGAGAGGCCCTAGTGTAGACGGCAGCTTGCAAACGGTCCCTAAACCCCTCCTGTGAGAGCCGATGCTGGGATGCGGTGATCCTTAATCATGACACAACCTCATGGGCAGGATGTAGCTCACAGGAGCTGGGTTCCGGGGTCCCTCACCCAGGATGGAGAGGGGCATTCTTATATTCAATTACAATGCCAGTCCAATGCATGATCTCTCTCTCTCTCCCTCTCACACACACACACATTTGTATTCATATCTTTTTGGGGCCATACATTAATTTCTATGGGAAAAACCCTAATCCTAACAATGACAACCTTAACCCTAACTCAGTCCTAACCTTAACCATAAGTATGGGTCGCAAATAGAACACTTCTGGCATTTTTAGTTTTTTGATTGCAGTCACAGATCTTTATAAAACTGAAGTTTTAAAAAAAAAAAAAAATGCCCCCAAGAGGTAAAAGGTTACAGGTTTTTATCACATAATGGGGAAATTTGGTCCCCACAATGTAATAATTATAAACACACATATACACAATACACACACACGCATGTATGCACACACACAGACAAAAAGCATAGCCAATTGAAAGAGACCCTTAGTCAGGTGGGCTTCAACCATCAACCTTGTAACCATCAACCTTGTATATGTGATGCAATTTGCTGCCTGTTTTTTTGTTCTGGGGACAAAATGCTGGTGTCACAGAATGACTTGTACATAATTGTAATGACAAACAATGCCATGAATGATGCAGACTTTGCAGCTTCATTGCTGTCCCCAATCCCTTCAGGACATGCCATGACACACCACGACACGCCATGTCGGAGCGGAGGCAGGCAGAGCAGATGCAGACGCCCGTGAGCCATTTCTCCGTGACACACCGAGTACATACATAACCATGTGGGCGGGGCCTCCATTCCAGCACAGCGTCGTTTATTTTCCTCTCTCTGTCTCCAGCTTTGCTCCGACACCTCCGCTAAAGGCAGGAAGCGGCGAGGGGTGGAATATAGTGTGGAAATAAACACCTGTTAGTGGGACCTCCGGGGGTGGGGGGATGAGCTTGTGGAGGGGACTGGCTTGGCCTCGAGCTGGAGCGGCAGTCGTGCTGCATTGTGGGAAACAGCTCCTCGGGGGGTGGGGGGTGGGATGGGTTTGTTTCCGTTTCTCCTTAACCAGGATCTACACTGAAGCCGATCAGCTCTCCTTTGTACAGGCACAAACTCATCTTCTTTTATCACTTTTTCAAATCAAATTAGGTACACCCTTGTGCAAATTAACTGAAATATGTATAATATGACTTACTCTGTTTTTTAGTAGCATTTGGATGCAATTTAGCACAGACAATTTTGAGCAGTCTTTGAAGATCCTGGGGTCCCAGTACCAGACTTGAATGAACGCCTGAAGAAACGTATCTTTTGCGGTACAACGCATTCAATGAAGCTTCCGCTTACCGATCGACCGCAGATTCTCTACAGAGTTTAAATCCAGACATTTTCCAGTACCTCGATTTTTTTCTTGTTGATGATCAAGCTGAAAGATGCCTGACCCTTCAGGAAATGTAACAATGATGAAATGTCCTACATATGATGATGCAACTCCTACCCATTGAAAAAGTGATTAATGAAGGCATATTGTTGGCTTTCTGGAATGAAACCGAAAATTGGACTGTAAAAAAAATTACTACTAGTTTCTATTAATTTGCACGAGGGCATACATATATTAACTCACTAGTACCTCCGGTTGCTCTTTGCTGTGCATAAAAAAATCCACGTAAATGATGGCTCTCTGGGGGCTCTCCTCGCTGCGTTACTCGACATTTAGCCAGAGGGCACAATGCAGAGCGACAGTGGGCCTGCGTCGTCCACTGCAGCCCTTAAATCTCCATGCACAGAATGGGTGTCATTCTGAAAGCCGGAACTGAATGAATGACGTCCTCTGTTAACGGCATAAATAATGTATGTCCTCGATAATGGCGACGCTTCGAAGGGGACAGGCTGTGCAGACTGCGATCCTGAAGGTCACGCACGCTTAAGGAGTGGGAGTTGAATGGCCTTCGCAGAATGGCCTTTGCTGGCAGCGCATGTGTCGAGAGAGACGCAGCGTGAGGGCGATGCTAAGAAGACCAGGAATGGAGATATGGGACAGTCTGATCCGGGGATCGTGCAGCCGCACAAGGACAGACCTTCAACACAGTCGCGGTCACACACGAGCGCCTGACATCTGTAGCCTGCTTATTAAAACACCTTGGTTCTTGTTTTAATACTCGACTGCGGTCCTGAAGGCACACAGAATCGTGCAGGGGCCAGCAGAACAGCTGGAAACACATAGCGCTGATGTTACTGCCAACGCTGCTGTGCCCACTTCGGATCGGAGGATTTTTATTTGTCTGACTACAACCTGCAGACGTGAACCTAAGGTGGTCTATGCCGCCGTAATAAAAATAGCATTGAAGGAATAAAACAGGAAAAAAATAAATAAATATGTAATAAATAAGGAACAATAAGTTACACTGAATAAGAAAGAAAAAGAAAATAAAGAAAAAGCAAAGGTAGCTTATAGCTGAACTGCGTGGTTCATGCTAAGGAGCGAGTGTCACATTATGACTGGTGCGGAAATGTTTAGTAATCTGAGGTTCTGAGGCTAGAAGCTCTCTCTGAGTGTCTCATTTGTCACCGAGGGGGGGGTCAGAGCTCACCGTGCGCGTCCCGATAGTAGGCGTGCGTGACGCTCCGGAATCGCTCCTGTCCAGCGGTGTCCCAAATCTATAAGAGGACGGACAAAGTAAGAGATCAGAAAGAGCACAAACACTGGCCTCCTTCACGTTTGGTCCGGGCTTCTCTGGCGACTCCTTGGCCCAGCTTGAGAGTCAGAGCTCCCAGTTACCGGCACTCACAGGACACGGCACTTACATGTATCATCTGACTGAAACGCTGTTAAGGGCCCTGACAAACATTAGGTCAGGAAGCGATCAGATCCTAAGCGATCGGGCCCTAAGTGATGCCGTCCCACAGGGATGGGCTATTTCTGAGCTCTGCTGCATACATCCGCTGCTATAGAGGGACAAATTACACAATCCAGGCATTCAACAGCAGCAGCCATTATGACTTTGATAATAGGGACGGACCGGAGCCTCGTCTGATTTCAGCCGGGGTCAGATACAGATCCTACCTGCAGCTTCACCTTCATGCCGTCGATGTTCAAGACTTTATTCTAAAAATACAAAAACAAACAGAAGAAAAGGTTAGATACTGAATCACTGCAAATTCCACTTTTGAAAGGAGAATGAAAGCTAAACATCCTGTTCTGCCATCCACATGTTTGTCTATCCGGAACTTTCTATTCGAACGGAGGCGTGTAAATTCATAATCATATTTGTCGAACTTCCCTTTACTCTTTTATAGCTTATGAGAGGTGGGTATGTGTGCCTCTGTTTAACTTAAGTGTTTACATATCCTCAGATGTTATGTGGTGACCACAGTGTATATACATGAACATCCGGGTGAGTGGAGTCCGCTGACGGCCACGTCCAGGCTTCCCCAGCGCCATGTCACTAGTGCGTCAATCATTCTATCTCCACTCCTGTCCCCTAAGAACGTGCCCTTTCCTCCGACCCTCAAATCATGACTCCCCCATGGAAAATCTTACGCCACGTTTCGCCTCTGAACTTTTTCAGTTGCTGAAAAAGATGTTTCACCTTGTTCTTCTACCTCCATTACCGAGGAAGGGATCTGAAGCCATTTGATGTAGATACTGCCACAAGCCTTACCGACTCAAACATAATCAATAACCGTAATAACGACAACAGCGACGACAATGATAGAAACAGTAACTATTTCTCATCAGACGCGTCTCTTGATCAGCATGTCTGTTTTTAAATACTAAAGACCAAACTGAAAGGACATCAGCATGAACACCCCAACAAGGAGGTCAGTTGGAATCTGCCTGTCCTGGCCAGCTGATATAATTGTTTCAGTTGCTTTTCAATGAGTAAAGCCAGTCTAATCATCTAAACTATTCACTTCTCAATATAGTAGCAAAGTATACAAATGGATAACATGAAGACCATATCATCTATAAAAGAGGTTCCCAACCCCAGTTCGTGAACCGGTACTGGTCCATGGCCAGTATTCCACCAGGCCTCAGAACTCTGGCGGTTTTGCAGAGGGGTTCATTGGTTTCCAAAAGTAAACTATACATTTTAAATTCTTTACGACCCATGTTCAATTGAATTCAATTGAATTTTATTTGTATGGTGCGTTTTCACAACATTACATTGTCTCTAAGTGCCCGCCCAAAGCTCCCAATGAGTAAGCTATAGGGGACAGTGACAAGAAAAAACTCCCTAGAAGGAAGAAACCTTGGGAGGAACCAGACTCAAAGGGGGAGGCCCATTTTCCTTGAGCCAGTAGAGGATGTTGAGTTCAAGAGTTCTGCTTGAATCTGAAAAACGTGCAAAGGGTTAAAGTTATAAAATTGCCCGTTTTGCCAGTCTGTGACATTTTCGTATGACATAAACCTTGTAATGAAAAATTTGGGGACTCCTAGCATAGATGCTGCCCTGCTGATAGGGTAAGCCTTGCACTGTAGTTGACATATATAACCCTAACCCTGCTGATAGGGTAGACCTTGCACTGTAGTTGAGATATATAACCCTAGCCCTGCTGATAGGGTAGACCTTGCACTGTAGTTGAGATATATAACCCTAGCCCTGCTGATAGGGTAGACCTTCGCTGC